ATAGAACTTTCCAAACTCCCAAATTTGTAATAATAGCAATATTAATAATAGTCTTCTTATAATTTTCTAAGTGTTTTTACAGTTCATATTTAATCTTCACAACAACTTTGTGTGTGTTGGGGGAGGGTAAGGCAGTCTCAGGAGAGCAGATCTGAGTTTCAGGTTAGCTCTGCTATTTATCCATTATAACCCTGGCTCGTTCCCTCTCCTCTCTGGCTCTCAGTGTCCTCAGCTGTGAAATGGGAGAACTGGATGAAAATATCTCATCTAGAAGAACTAGATCAAAATCTCTCCCACCTCTAACATGCTGTGATTCTATGCTGCAGTGCCTCAGTAAGGGGTTCTCAATCTTGGCACTACTGGTTGGGGCCAGATAACCTTTTGTTGAGGGGGCTTCCCAGTGTGTTGTAAGCTGCTTAGCAGTATCCTTGATGTCTACCCAGTAGATGCTGGTAGCATATCTTAATCCAGTTGTAACAAACATGTCTCCAAACACGGCCAAATAGCCTCTTTAGTCACTGTCCAAGGACTTCGATGAGGTCAAGATCATGAGCAGTTCAGTGGGAAAAAGGTCTTCTTGTCCACTCCTCTAATCCAACCCCTTCAAACCTTCCTGCATATTTATTGAATACAATCGCTGCTGCTTCTTGGTTCTTAAACACCCTAAGTGGTCCACAGTGTGTTTGGTGTGATAATGAACCAATTGATTTCATACTTTCTCCTAAGGAGAGTTCACAGGTTTATGTCCCCTAAGCAACCAGTTAGTCTCTCCAGAAATGCCTTGCACAGTCCAAGCTGGCCCAGAAGTCTGTATCTGCAGCCTGCAGAAGGCTCAGTGAGCAGGGATTTGTCAGCACTCTTAAATCACTGGGCTCTGAGGAAGGCTTCTCCCAGCAGAAAGATCCTTCCTTAGCAATCAATAGCTCAGGGCCCTCCATCACATTCAGAATTATCCTGGGACCTGTAAAATTTCTTTTCCCCCGAGCATGGTAGAACCCCAAAGTGAAAGCCCTAAAAGGGGTGGGAAGAAGGCAAGAAAGAAGCTCTGCCAAGGAGGCCTCATCCATAAGCCCAGATGTTGCTATGAGCAGAGGCTGATGTGTGAGCCTGGACACTCAGCCTTGCTCACCTGTGTGGTTCCCAGCGACCCAGCAATAATATTCCTTTCTGACTGAATACTTCTTTACATCTTGCCAAGGGCAATGTACACTAAGACTGTCACCTCTGATCTCTGCTACCTTGCCCTTCATCATAGTGTTGCCAGATACACCATTTAGCTGAGGAGGAAACCAAGGCTCACAGGGATCAAGTGCCTTGTTCAAGGTCTCTAAGCCATTAACTGGGGAGACAGACTCAAAGCCAATTTCATTCCAATGAAAGTAGGTCGGGGCAGCCACAAGTGGGGAACACGATAGGGACAACTTCTTTTTTTCTGTGTCTAATGCCACTTGTTAAACTCTACTTCCCTCCCCTGCCCATTAAATTACACACACACACACACACACACACACAACACACACACACAGAGCTTACACTGTACTCAAACTCTATGTAGTTATAGCCTCTGGATTTATCTAGGGTCAGACCAAGCCTTGGGAAGATAGGGCTTCTTCTGCTAAAGCAGGGAGCTGGCAAAGATCTTAAGCACAGCTCTTGTAACCCTACTTGAAGAAAGGGGCTGTTGTTCTTTGGTGGGCCATGTATCCTCATTTCCATCCTCCCTTACAGATAAAGAGCCACCTTGTCTGTGAGTCTGAGTGAAATGAGCAACCTTGGGGGTCTTCTCTGGCAAAGAACATCCCTTGGGCCGTAAGGACTGATGAGAATTTCACCTCTCCAGAATTCTGAGCCTGTCAAGTCTGCTAAGGCTTAAGAGGGATCCCAGCATGCAAACACACAGGTGAAGAGGAAAAAAGAGAGGGGGCAGCCCATGGGTCATATTGCAAAACTGGTTCCCAAGAACCTTTCACATGTCAAAAGACTCACAGAACAGAAGAAAGGGCAATGGAACTCATGGTATCTTTCAGATCATCCAAGAAGCTGGGACATGAGGATTTTGCAAAAATAGAACATCCTTGCACTCTGACCTTGAGCTGGGAGCAACAGGGATGGTGGAAGTTGGCAAGTACATTTTGGAAATGCTCCGATTCATCCATGATCTGAGTTTGAGAAGTCCCACCAGCAAGGGAATGACCACAGGCCACAGAGACCCCATTTCAGAACATCTTGGCAGAAAAAAGGAAGAACTCCAGGCTTGGGTTCCAAGAACAAGGCCAAGGGCTTGGGCACTTCTGATTCCTAAATTCATAAATACAAGCTTGGAGTTGTATGGCTTTTGCTGAGAAGACTATTTGAAACAAGATAGTGGAGGAAGAGGAAAGAATAATTAGGAATTTGGATGATCTGTGTATATACATTACGAGAACTTTATCTATACCTCTGTATCTTTATCTGAATATAGATTTAAGGGAAATCTCTCCAAATTTACTAAAGTTATTAATTTGCCAAAGTCTGGTCAGTCAGTAATTACCAGTGCCCACCACTTAGAGAACATGTATCCATCTTCTCATTAGAGCTCTGGATAGACAACTAGGCATCCTAGGATCTAGTTCTATCTCTTTCACCTTGGGCAAGATACTATCAGGCTTCAGTTTTGTCATGTGTAATTTAAGTGTACACATGAATGTCGAGGATAGGATGAAACTGGAGTAAATGCTTCCTAAGGCTCCTTTCTCTATTTCTGATGTTCTTGGGTTCTCTGAACCCTTAATGAGTTCTAGCACCATGCACAAAGGAATGATCTAGGGCTACCGGTATATAGCAGCTGGGACTCTCTGAAAATGATTGAGTGTACCTGGCCCATTGCACCTGAGACCACAGGACCACCTAAAGTCCAGAAAGCATATGATAGAAAGGATCGCATCACAACAGTGAAAGTTGAGACCATAGCCTGGGCTTGCTTGAACATTAAGTTAGTATACTATGGCCAATAAAGGGAAATAAGAAGTCAGTGGTCCTGAGCTAGGTACTTTTGGTGCCCCCTACTGGGCACCAAAGAGCTTGCTCTACCTTTAAGATTCCACTAACTTGGCCAGCAAAAAGGAAGCTTGAGAACCAACTCAGGCTGTTACAGCTGCTCAACAGACAATTATTTCTAGTCAGTAGTCCTATCTCTGCAAGAGTCCATGCTTCACCCCTAGAATTACACAAGTCCACACATTCTCAGGGGCAGGACTGCGTTGCCATAAGATGCCCTAACCAAACATCAAGGCACCAAGGACTGAATACCAGAGCTCTGGACACCAGGTGCAGCTCAAACGGAAAAAAGGGAAGAAAGCAACAAGCAGGTATTTCACTACACATATATAACCCCGGTGCATAGAAGGTCTTGGAAAATGCAGCAGAAAAATGTTGACTGCAAATAGACAGAGGATGGAACTGGGGTTTGCATACAGATCTCCAGGCTGAGGCAGCTATCCTAGGAGTTGGAACACATGCCTGTGTTCAGAAATGGAGTAAGGTGAAGGACACAGCCCCAGCTGAGCAGCTCAAGAGCATGTAACTGTCACACACCTTTGGCCTTCTTCAGTCTGTTAGTACCAACTGGGAATTGGGTGTTCTAACTGTGCCTCTGTACCAGCATTAGACCCCTAAACTCTCTTCATTGCCCTGAACTTGACTTTAGGACTTGTTGCCAGAAAGATGTGCTTAACCAAGTCAGAAGGAGAGAAAACGCTTCCTCAAGGATCATAATGGAACCACCGCCATGGTCTCAATTTTCCATCCTCCACCTCTCCTTCCCCATGGCTGAGCGGGGTACAGTGTGATTCTCAGAATTAGCTCCAATTTAGTTTTGGGTATTTCATGCCCCCAAGCTATAAGGTTCCAAATCTCTCATCCATAGATTTTCTTTACCCACAGTTTCTCACCCATCTCAGCACCATAAATCTATCCCCTGTTCCCAGACCCCCTGCTTCTTTTCCACCCGGGTTCACTTGGGAAATCTTGTCAACATCCAAGAAGGTACCTTAAGTGCAACTCAAGAATGTGTCCTGGCTGAAAAACTGAAGCATCTCTTGGGATGCACAGAAGCCACACTGGGTGAACCCATCACTAGCAGCAGCAAGATACACCAAGCATCCACGGAGGAAGCCCCCACCCTCATTCCTAGGGAGGCTACCATTCCGGGCCGGGATGACTTCGGATTCCTGAGTTGGTTTCTGCAGAAGCGGGGCTAACCGGGGTTCCCTACTACTGTACTGCAAAGAAGCGCGCTGCATTGCTGGGCATGCCCCCAAGCCCGGCCTGCAGCCCCATCAAAACCTCTGTGTGCTTCCAGCCGACTGAGGGGGCCCCAGTTCTCCTGGAATGCCTAAGACTGTCTGAAAACGAGACCACACCTCGGTCCAGCAAAAGGCGGCTGGCTGGCAGCTACACAGAGCGCGGGCTATTTCCCGGAGCTCTCTGCCACCCAGCGCTGTGCAGAAGACAGCTCAGCTTCCCCGGGGAAGAAAAGCCGGCTCTCCAGGGGGTCTTCACCAGCCTGGACGCCAGACACTCGGCCGAGGCCAGTATCCTCCCTAGCTCGAAGCTAAGCCTGCCTAGCTGGGTGACTCCCCAATCCCCCTGCACAGCCTTTCTTACCTGCTTCAACCCCTCTCATCTCCCAGGTCCCCTCCCAAACAGCTGACCTCCAGTGCACCCCCAGCACCTTTTCTGCCAGTGGCGTGCCGTCGCCCCCACACCTCGGTTCCCACCTCTCTGCCACATCCAGCCCTGCGCCCGCCTCGCCCCCAGCCCGTGGGGGAGGCTCTGCGTGCCAGTTGAGTCTGGTGCCTCTTGGCAAGTTGGGAGCAAAGCCACCGCCTCTGGGGTCTCAGTCTTTTCTGGTTTCTGGCGGCATCCCCACCACCCCCCGAGCACGCATGGGGAGGGGTCCGCAAGGCTGGAGAAACTTTCTCCGCCCAAGGGGGTGGGGGTTCTGGAAGCGGGTTACTCACGCCCGGGTCAGCGCTGGGATCCATCCTTGTGCTCTCTCAGCCCCGCCGCCTGGGGGCGTCGGAGCGCGGGCGCTCACTGCCGCC